TCATATATATATATATATATATATATAGAGAGAGAGAGAGAGAGAGAGAGAGAGGACGTTTCAAATGCAACACATAACATTTGTACAACCCAATCAATTGAGATATTTATGGAAATAATAAAAGTTCATTTATTATGATTTGAATATTTATGAAAGATGACTAGGGTTCATTAATTTTGATCAATACTTTATATTAGTAAGCAATCAAAACTTTTATGAAATCACATATATATCAAATTAAATGGACGGTTGAGATTTTTTCTATTGGTTGTACAAATGTAAAAAGTTGCATAATAACTCACATCTCTCTCTCTCTCTCTCTCTATATATATATATATATATATATACTAGTTATGTACCTGCGTGATGTGGCAAGATGTAAGGGTTCTATCAAAATACATAACATCATTTTTTTTTGCAAAATATCTTTGGAATACTTGGTGGTTCACATATTGTATTGTAAATCAAAAAATGAAAAATTATTTCAATTTCTCATCAAAAAGTTTCAATTTATGTTTAAACAAAGTAGAAATTACAATCATGCTTTAATCATACACAATCATCATTCAAAACTTCTTGATACACCACATTTGATGTGTGGAAAACTCCTTCCTGATTGAACTTTTTGATAGGTTTCACTAATACCTTTGTATTATCACGTGATATCCTTCTGGACAATACCACGTAAAGTTGGTCGTGCGAAAATACAAATTCTGATAGATAAACACCTACCATAATGGTTTGTCTGTCCTTGAGGTTTGTTGATTGTCATGGAAAAATAGAGTAGAATGGGAAATTGTTTTCTATTCAATTTAAAGAGAAACATGTCATCTTCAGATGGACATAGAGGAATTCTTGGTAAAAATATTCTCTTACCAATATGCTGACCAACAACTATTTCTACATCGTTAACATTCTGTTGAAAACCTCTACATATCAACCTCGTGCCGTTACACAATCCATTTGAGGGGTCGATAATAGTATTATCAGGCATCTAATTTTAAGCCGAAGGTAATGAAGGGGCAAACCGCTAACAGTCATTGAGTTTAAGAGTTCCATCAGATATAAGTTATTCTTGCCGTTTTCTTCTTCATCAAAACTATAGTAAATTTTTTCCTCTTCACAGAATCTTTTGATAAACAGATTATTAATCTCGTCGACATGTTCATTTTTAGTTGTTAATATCGCCCTCGAAATGATATAATCTGAAGCAGTCTTGTTTGTTTGAAGAGAAGGACATATTGCACCAATCAAAGCATCATTCGATTCATTTTTATTGGTGTAAGGAATACCCATGTTATCACGTATGAAAATAAAGTTTTCGTCTACTAATTCTTCATCACCATCGCCGACACGTAACAGAAAATCCTAAAATTAACCATGGATCAGTAAGTGCTCTCATATTGATCGTTAACCACAACTTTTTAATCGAAGACCAAATAAGTACATCTGTAGGCTAAAGTCTACGATCTGTGTTCGGGTGCCATATCTTATTACTTGCAACACTTGTCTAAAATCACTTCCTATAATCATTATTTTTCCACCAAATGAGAGTTTCACCCCAGTGATGTCTTGCATTGTTCTATCGAGTGCCTCTATTGTCTGCCTCTTTGTCATTGATGTTTCATCCCAGATGATTATTTTTGCATCTCGGAGTTCAAAAAGATCGAGTTCGAAAAGATCGAGTTCGAAAAGAAATACTAACTTATCGACTCTTGATTTACGGCTTTGTCAAAAAGAGGTAGGAATATTCCACGCTTATTTTAAATACCTATGAAAGAAAACATCATGTCAACGAGTCTCTAGTTTATATCAACTCCAAAGTTTCTAAAATAATAATAACCACATGGTTTTTACCGTTGACGTTTTCCTTGCTTCATGTTGATAATAGTTTCGATTAATAATTTTTCTTCTTTGAACAAAAGTTAGTGTACTAACAAGAGTTGTTTCATTGATATTCCCTTGTGTTGTCTCAATTAGAGAGATATTTGCCATGTTTATCATTGATTGATTACTTCCTTCACCTAACGCTATTTTTTTCTTTTTGTTCTGCATAATAACGTCTATTATATTAATTTTGATTTTTAAATATATATTGAGTAAGTACATTAAGAATTAAGATGTATTCATATTATATATTTCACATACCTTTTGCTATATCCGACATCCCTTGTACGATAAGAGTCCTCATCGGATAATACATTGTGTGATAAGAGTCCTCATCGGACAGTACATTGTGTGATAAGAGTCCTCATCAGACAGTACATGAATAATAAAAAGTCCTTATCGGACCATGCATTGTACAATAAGATATACATACATCAATTCTGATCTTAACATTGAAATACAATCAATTAACATCATATAACCAATAAACTACAAGAATTATTATTCTCAGATTTACCAAACATTGTAAAACTCACCTTAGATATACTTGTTTGAGGATGAATCACACCACTACAAAAATGCAGAGTATCAGCAAGAGAAATTTCCCTCGCAAATCCGTCGCTAAAAGGGTCATCTGTCGCTGATCCGTCGTGATACTCCGTTGGTCAAATGCTCGTAGGTAATGCTATCAGCAACGGATTTGCGAGAGATATTTTCAGCGACAAATCAGCAAGAGAATATCTTCAGCAACGGATAAACGAAGAAAAATATCAACGACGGATCAGCGAGGGAACTTTCAACGATGGATCAGCGAGGAAACTTTCAGCGACGGATCAACGAGGGAACTTTCAGCAACGGATCAGCGAGTAAATTTTAAAGGACTTTCAGCGATAGATTTTCCCTCCCTAAGTCGTCGCTAATTTGTTTTAATCTAAAAAATAAATTTTTTGAAATTACATAATTCATGTATTTATTTATATACAAAACCCGGAAATAATATAACAAACCAAAACTGTGAACAAATTAAAACTAATCAATTCATACGATTTAAAATATCCAATTCATACAATTTAAAATATTCAATTCATATAATTTAATTTTCAAATACATACAATCTAACTATCGGGAGGTGGCGGATGGGGGAAAACGTATCCTGACTACCGCATAAACGCAGCAAAATGCTCCGATAAGGCGGCCTGTTCGGCTAGTGCAGCAGCTTGTCTGGCCTGTTCGGTCTCCAAAATCAACGAGGGATCAGCGAGAGAATGGCCAAAACCCGAATCCCTCGCTGATCTACGAGGGATTTTTTTTCCCTCGCTGATGTTCGTCGTTGATACCTTGTTTTTTAGTAGTGCACACAACAATAACTTCAAATGGTAACACATAATTCAACTTCAGTCTGTAGCAAATTCACACACCCTTAACCACAAGGGTGATGCCCGATTGGTTTGAGTTTGGGTTCCAAAGGTCAAAAGTGCATGGAGGTCCCATGTTCGAACCAATGAAGAATAAAAATTCTCTTGTGGCCACGGAGGTTCAAATACGGTGACTGCGGGATACCCGCGAAGCGGGTGATCATTTTAAGATTAGTCGGCTCGCATAACGAATTAAATATTCAGGTTAATAAAAAAAATCACACACCCTTTTTACTTAAGATACACATTTTTCCTCACAATAAAACACACAACTTT